CCCCAAAACCCCAAAACCCCAAAACCCCAAAACCCCAAAACCCCAAAACCCCTATTTTCAATAATTTTATTGAAAGCTAAAGCAACAGAAAATGTAAGAATTGACAAAATTCGAGATCTTTAAGTTTTTTGATCTATAAAGATTGCTAACCAGGGGATTTTGTGAAGGAGGATAACTTATTCTCGCTTCTTATACACTTCTTAAATGATTCGCATCAATTTTGTATACATCAGGATCCTCAGCTGAACTTTGGATTCAATTAGATTCTGAGAGATTCAAAAATTTCTTTCATGATCTTCTAACCCAAATCTAGCTAATGTTTTCATTTTTTAAAAAGAAGGAAAAATCAGAGAAGAAAGGTATCTCTTCTCTTGAATTCTCTAACAGAAATAGAAGACTTTGAGCAAGAATACAAAGGAATCAAGATTAGTAAGATACTTTTTATCTCTCAGTCCATAGAATAGCTGATATTACCAAAGAAACCACAGATTGTATTGTAAATGCAGCTAATGGCAGCCTGGCTCATGGAGGAGGTGTTGCATATGCCATCTCCAAAGCTGGAGGAAAGTACGATTGACCTCCTCAACTTGTCTAGAGAACTTAACCAAGACTCACGGAAATGGATTAAAGATCATGGAACGATTGAAACAGGAGAGACAGCTTATACCTCAAAAGGAAATCTCGCTTGTAATAACTACTGTATTCACACCGTTGGGCCTATCTGGAGAGGTGGGAAAGAGAACGAAGACCAGCTCTTAAGAGATGCTGTTAGGAATGCCTTCATCAGAGCATCAGAATTAGAGCAGAATTCTATCTCAATCCCAGCTATTTCCTCAGGAATCTTTGGATATCCTCTTAAAAGAGCTTGCATACAGATTGCTAGAGGTACCAAAGAGTATATAGATAACCAAGAAGAGTACAAGAATACCCTTTCAGAAATAGTTATGTGCAATCTTATTCCCAAAGTAAGATCCTAGCTTAAAATCCTAGACCAGCTACGAACTTCAGGAGCAATGCGTTAAGATCCTGGTAGAAGAGGAAGAAGAGAAAAAGGAAGTCACAGAGCACCCCAAAGAACCTGAAGAAGGTAAAATTCAGGAACAAGATGGTGAAGAAGATCCTGTAAAAGAGGATAGTCATGAGAAAGAGTAATTTTTGGATAATCTTGGAGAAAATACTAGGGATAACCTATTTCTGATCCTAATTATATATAGAGTTACTGAAGAAGGAGAAGTTACTGATAAAATGTCTAACATGAAACTTTCTGAAGATCAAGAGGAGCAGGATGGTTCATAAATTGCATCACAGGTTCAATATAAAATTTTCCCTAAGGGGTTTTGGGGTTTTGGGGTTTTGGGGTTTTGGGGTTTTGGGGTTTTGGGGT